ATTAAGTAGCCTATGTGTTCTTCCAGACTGTCCTGTACGTCTGTGACAAATTTCATCGTGAACATTACAGTTGTAGAGGCTGCAAACTCTAACAAACATCCATCCATCCAAACATTCGCATTTATAATATTAGTAAGATTGAAGAATTTAATTGAAAATGGGTGTTTCAGAATAAATAATCCGATAGACGAGAGTGCGCGGAGACCTGTCGCGTTAATGTCGATGAAGGACAGCGTCTACCAGCTGCAGAAACGAGAGATAAACAAGGAATATCCATGGGAGGTGAGTTTTTATTTAACATTTAGGTACAGTCACGGAATTTCGCGGTGCTTCACTTACAAAAAAATTGCCCTGTTTTTAGCAACGAACAAATTCTGCCACTTCAGGGGGCTGTGAGAAAGGAACCATAAACTACAACATTAATCTTGGCAGCTTGTAGTTTATGGTCCTTTTCACATATGTAGGTTTTTCCGATTTATTTACCCACTAAGTTTTATAGCGTGGAAATACATAGACTAAAGCGGGTCGTAAGTGGAGGGCTTTTAATTAAAAAAAGAATTATTAAAAAAAATGCCGTGATTGCTAACATCTTACGACACCAAGTAGTGTGTGTTTACGCTTTATTATATTAGAATAGATTGCTGTTCCCGAACGGTTTCATGCGCATGATATTAAAAAAAAATACAAAAAACATAAAGACGAATTGAGTACCTCTTTTTTTAGGGAAGTTTGTCAAAAACTTTATTGCATTCTTTACATTTGTTAATTACTCAATTGCAAGTTTTAAAATTCAAATGCACAAATGACAACGAAGGCCTTTGACATTGGATAACAATGACAGTTGTAGATTTGTCCCTTTTCCGCATGATTGCATTTTCCAAATTATTTACTCCCTAAGTTTAATAGCGTGAAAATATTTAGCCTATAGTGTATCGTGAGTATAGAGGTTTTCATAAAAAAAATATTCAAAAACATACTGTGATTGCTGACGTCCTATATAAGAAATGTGTTTACGTTTAAATATGGCCGGCAATACATCTGTAGTTCCTTTTATATTGCGGGTGTCCATAGGCGTCATCTCAGTGTTCCCGCCGCTCATTTGCCCACATTTGAAAAATAATTGAAAAACATTTTTTTATGAATAGGAAAACACGGAGCCTATAGATG